AATCTATAGTAAGGCTATGTTTGAAAAGATGTTATTAGAGCTATTTGTATGTATATCATTCCACTTATATTATTTATTAGATATAAAACACAAATACACACAACACAAAAAAGAACAGAATAACACAAAAAACGCTAAGCATCTCCCCAAATGCTATGACGACTGAAAGTTGGATAAATTCAACGTATCTGTAGCGCTTGCTGGAGTGAGTAGGAACCTATTATTAATTATAGGAGTATGTTGGAGAAATGAACAATATGTTGTGACATGAACAAACCTATAATACCATTCTTTTAGATTATTTAGTTGGTAATTTTGATAAAAATCAAGATAAAAATGAAAATGAAAATGATGATTTTAATAAAACATCTGTTATACTTATCCATTATTTAGTATAAAATTTATATGGAAAATATTTTATATTCAATAAAAAATGAAATTTTTCTTTTAAGATCACGATCAGAAAGATGAAAAAAAAAAACAAAATTGGTGGTGTTCACTTAATTTATAGCTTATATAAGGATTTACAGATTTTTCGATGTTCACTGAAAAATAACGATTCATCTTAATAACTCTGAATAATTCTCTCAGCACATAATTCCTTTTCTACATAATTCTACATTTCAAATACTAAATAAAAAACATCACTACATGAGCCAAATTGGAAACGGTCCAAAGAATAGTGTTAATTATTCTTCAGAGATTTGTATTCCTCTTTAAACTGTCAATTTTCAACTTCATGTCCATCCTACCATTGAAAAATGGAAATACTTGATCAATATACATGAGGCATTCTATATCAAACGGGGCGCCTTTGAACCATCGTCATTTTTATTTTTATTCTTTTTATATACGTAATTAACATATATGCTAACATATTCTACAGATAATATGAGATATACATTTTGCGAAAAAAATGAGATTTCTTTTTATCGCGCTTGTAAATTGCAGAAATTCATAAAAAACATCGCTTATGCAAACATTCAAGTTATTATATCATCAAAATCATTAATATAAAAAAAAATGCAAGAGGTTGATTTTAAAGATTTAAATTATTCTATGAATAGTTTATTTTTATTTCATCATTTTTATATAAATTAGAATTGTCCAAGGTCGGAATTGTTTGATTTGAAATCGAAATGTATCGATATATTCATATTACCGTTCCTATTCCTTACTTCATTGCTATTTTATCGTAGCGCGCGACGCTTGGTCTCAGGAATCCGGATGACAATAATTTGAAATCATTAAAAAGTTTTTGACTTGTGTCTTTCACTACATTTAAAAGTATTGTGTTACTAATATTATAAGATATTATTATTCATAATATATTTTAACTATGTATAATATGTATAATATGTATAATAGTATATCATATAATATTAGTAGCAGAATACTTTTAAACATAATGAAAAACACTAATCAAAAACTTTTAACGATTTCAGACTCGTTCTTGAGACCGAGCATCGCGCACTACGACAAAATAGTAACAAAATGAGAAGTAGGAACGGTAATGGGCGTGTGAATATCAACACATTTCAAGCCAAAAAACCTTATACAGGTCTGACTTATAGGAAAATGATTAAGTAAAAATAATCTTTTCATCGAACAATTTAAGATTTTTAAAATCAATCTGTTGCGTTTTTTTGTACAACTAATAGTCTTGACGATATAATAACTTGAATGTTCGCAACAAGCGACGTTTTTTATGAATTTCTACAACTTACAAGCATAAATAACTTCATAAAAAAATCTCAAATCTTTTCGCAAAACACGTATCTCATATTTTTAATATTTTTATCTATAGAATGTCAGCAAATTAAAAAAAAAATGACGGTTTAAAGGTGTCCAGTTTGATGTGGAATCACATATATATGTTATACATTAAGATCCGTTATTCTTTTTATATATGATAACATAAATAATATTCTATTATTTATATGATCGTGTGATTGCTGCGTGTTGAAATTTATTATCTTGCTTATGTATAACTTTAGTTATATATTTTTTATCATGTTCGTTATATTGCAATTGTAGGGATTATTTCAAATAGTTGAGTTCTATTTATAAGTGTTCTTTATCTAAGATAGTGAATGCTTTATAGGGTCACATTTATAAAATTTAATCACATAGATTTCTGATCTTCGAGTGTTAATTTATTCTCTCCATCCATAATGAATACAATTCTTATTACATGCCTTTGATTAAATTCACAAATACATCAACAAGATTCTATTAATGACATGACATTAACATATAATATTTATCACTAATGCAATACTATTGTCAGTAATAAATATCATGTTAATCATTTCACATATACATATTTTTAATTGTAAGCGTGATGAGTCGCTTTTGCTCTTTAAAATTGCAACTTAATTTATAGCTTAATGTATATAACAAAAATTCTTATTAATAATTTAATTTTTATTATACATTATGTTTTATATGCTCGCTGGCTACTTTTTTTGTGCTAGTGTTATCATTCAGCAAATATCTATTCAGTTGTAAATATCTATTCATGCGTATCTGTTTTTCTCTAGTTTTCTAAAAGTCTATAGATAATTATCAGTCTTCTTAGTGACAAGAAGAACAGATAAGAAAGGAAGTCTTCCATTTTCTTCTGTGTCTATGATAAAGCGGACAATAGATTTTTTTGTGTTTTATGAAAATACTTCATTTGAGTAATCTATCCGTAAGTCTTCATTATCCGAAAAATTTGGACAATTGTATGAAAGTTACAGTTTATTATTTAAAACAACGCGCAAATCACAATCAAAGAGTTTAAGGTAGAAAAAACTTAAGCAATAAAATGTAAATCGTAAAGGAATGAATAGAGATTTCTTAATTGCCTACGTTATGGCTTTACGATCTCTGCTGTGATTGGTCAATTTATTTACTACTTAAACTTTTTTGTGTGTTATGACAAGCTTTCCACTTTTATCACAGTGATCGTAACGATAATGTTTTTTCATTATACAATCAGAAGCGACCGCGGCTAAAATCTCTATCTTCGTCTTAAGGAATCAAAAAGAATTCTTAAGATAACGAATTCTTAAGACAAAGAATTCTTAAGATATTTACTTCTAGCTGCGTAACGAAAAAACAATCACAACAGTCTTACGAATAGTAGATTATGTTAAGCAAGTATAAAAGGTTCTGAGTTTTTTCAAATTTCAATAGAAACTAATTCTACGCAATAACATATTCGAATTATTTGAAACAGTCATATGCGTATATTTACGATCTACAAAACTGGATTATTCGTATTTTTTGTTTAGTGAAACTTCAGCTCTGGACATATCATATAAAAAATAGACCGAAAAAGTGTAAAAAAAAAGATAATCATGTACTAAAACATAATTAGTAAATCGAATTTCGAGACAAACGATAGCATCGCACGGAATCATTGAAGTAGTGGAAGTTTTCAAAGAAGTCTAAATAATTACCAGTGAATAGTAAAAAATAAATGAGTTCTTCGAGATTGAAGAAAGGATTTCTATACTATTGCTCAAAAATATTTACCCATTTCAATTTTTGTACATATCTTTTTTGTATGTTTAAATTCCGTTCCAATTCTATTACTGTACTCTTTTATTTATACATTACATGTACAGAGTATTGCATAAAGACCGTAACAGGATAAGGATAAATTCCTGAGATCATATTTTGAGACGAAAATCATATCAAAATGTAGAAGCTATAATAACTTTTTAATTATAAGCATTTACCGAATCACTTAAAATTCATGTGGGTTCATTTGGCAGATGTGGTTGGCTGACCACTATATTCGAAATATGTTCCGTTATAGTTGAAATTAAAATATTAATTTTTTAATTTTATTCTTAACGTAAAACTGTTGATTTTTATAGCAATTTAGTAAATATAATTTTTATATCTTAAAATGATTGAGAAAATAGTTGATTTTTAATAATCCTAGTTTCAACAATAGCAGAATATCTTTATTATCTGTAGATTAATAATCTTATTTACTTTTTTTCGGATTATTAACAAAGAAAGTTCGATTAGTTTAAAATCCAAAATAATCTGAAATTTTGCATATAAAATGCAGACCTAATTGCAAAATAATTTTTTAGCTGTTAATATTCGATTATGGGAGTGGAAACATTCTGAAAATGTCGCAACACATTATTAGATTTTCATGCATATTGAAACTGTGAGTCATGTTAATTGAATATATAATACATATATAAATTTTGTTGTTTCTTATTTATTTCTATTTGCCTTTTTTCCTTTAATTAGTTATATATTAATTTATTTGTATGCTGGGGATATCACATTAATCACGATCAAATCTTTTTTGTTATTTATTATCATGTTTTACTTTCACGTATTCATTTTCACATTTTACAAATTTTATGAGACAGATACGTTTTTATTGAGAACAGATCGATTAATACTAAATGATTTATTATTTATTATACTAATATGTCTTTGACCGCATGGTACTTTAAAGTTAAAAAAGTTAAATATAATCGATTTCCCGATAAATATCAAAAATAGTGACAGCTTCCGCAAATCTTTACAATAACCTTTAAAAGTCTGTCCCCTCTGGGATAACTTGATTATTATATTGTAGCGACATTGCAAACCGCAGATAATATAGATGTATAAAATTGAAAAATTCTAAAAATATTCAAAATTATAATAAATTAATTATTTATGTAATTGTTAGACTATATGTTGGATTATTCATTATGGTGATTTCAATTCCCTTACCTTATGCGCTAATAATGGAATGCAAAAAAGGTACATACAGTATTTAAAAAGCTATTGTATATTAAATTTCCTTTTTTAATAATTACTATATTTTTTGATATTAATATATTTTCTTCATGACTCAATCTCTGGATGGCTATTATTAAAACATGGAATAAGCAGTGTTACGCTTTATTTTCAAAATTACGTAAAAAAAATAAATGTCATAACATTTAAATAAAATGTCATAACATTTAAATTGGATGCAAAACTTGTTGCAGGAGATGAATCAATCGATTAGATATACACCGTTTAGTGAAACCGGCCTCGATGGTAATTTTGTCACAATATATTTTTAAAAAGTTTTTTTACACACAGTAATTGAATTTATCAATAGCCCCCCTCCCTCTTCCCCTCGCTCTCTTCTTCTTTCTCTCCCTCCTTCCTTTTGTAATTGTCGGAACAAATATTAGTATAATACATTATTGTCATTTATCCTGCTTTATGTAGACAATTACTTATAAATTCTGCCTACTTTTCAAAAAAATATAATATTGTTAATTTTTTTAATAAATGAAATAAATATTTATTATTTGAATATTTTTAGGACCCGATCAAATACTATTTACGGACGCAGATACCACATGTAATCCCGATGGCAGAGTACGAATAAAGTTAGATAACAATGGATCCAATTCATATCAACCCGAATCAATCCCTGGAGTTTTTACTAGAACAGCAAAGCTTTACCCTGATCATATAGCGTTGGTATCTAGACCTGATGTCAACGGCAAAAGAACCACGTATACTTTCCAGTATGTATAAAAAAGTAACAAGGCTATTGTTTCTTTTATTATTACAACAAATAGAATATTACTACAAGAGAAACTTGAGTAAAAAAGTAAAATCAATAAGTTGTAATACTTACATTAACAAATATTATGTTATAAACAAAATACATAAACATTAGGAGCAGATAAAAATTTATAATATAAATAATTACAAACTTTTATCTGTCTTACACTTCTGTATTTTGTTTATAACGTTTTTTTTTATGTAAGTATTAGAATTTATCTGTGTTACTTTTGATCTCAGTCTCCCCTAGTATATGTAGATATAATAAAAACTTGTACAACTAATTTCTCTATATATATTTTTACACAGTAAAAAACATTTTGTATTTATGTTAAAACATAAATCTTTATTCAAATTTTTGTATTGAATTTTTAACATATCAAGTTTTAATTTAACATGTGATTATGTTATTTGAATATTTTGTGTTAAATTAAAATTTAACATTTTTCAGTATTAAAATAATACAATTATAGATAAGTGAACAAATAACATAAAAATAATGTAGTTTTAAAGCATAAATTCTAAGAATAAATAAATAAAATGTTGATTTAATATATATAAATATTGTATTAATTTTATTGAAAAAAATATATTCTGTTCAATTAGTTATATATTTCATATGTAAAAGATACAGATATTTTGTGTTATTTCTTCTTTGTAACAATAAATATCTGTTAAATCTATATATTGCGTCAAATATTACAGAGGTATCGTCTAAATTAAAAATGTAAAAGTAGCATCTAATTTTAATTAAATTTAACATTATAAATGTGTCAATTTAAAATAAATAATATATTAAAAGTTTTTTTTAATTGTGTCAAAGCATTACGCTTCTTATGTTAATGTTTTTTACATAATATTTGTTACTTTTTAACAAATTCATCTTTCGTTAAATTAACACAAAAATTTAGATGGACCGTTTGGGACATGTAAAATGTGATAAATATAACACAAAAGTTTTGACTGCGTATCAATATATTATAAATATAAATATTGCTTTTGTTCAGATTCTTTCTCTGTTCTTTTCAATCTGATTTACAGGAAAATTTGAGTTTTGCAATTACATTTATTGCGATAAGTGATACAATCAATTTTGTACAATTTATATAATTTTGTTAATTTATATTATAGAGAATATGAGTCTATTGTGAGAATCGTCGCAAAAGCGTTTCTAAAGTTAGGTTTAGAGAGATATCATAGCGTCTGCATAATAGGATTTAATAGTCCGGAATGGATTATTGCCGAACTTGCGACTATATACGCTGGGTAAAAAAGTTTACATATTATAATTAAAAAGCGATATAAGCTTTTCTTATTTTTAAATAAATAGATCTTTTTTTTTAGTGGAATCGCTGTAGGGGTTTATATCACAAATTCTCCGGAGGCATGCCAATATTGCGCTGAACATAGTCGAGCAAATATAATAGTCGTTGAAGATGAAAAGCAATTGCAGAAAATCTTGCAAATAAAACACAATTTGCCCTATTTGAAAGCAATTATTCAATATGATGGTATACCTACCGAAAAGGATATTTTGAGTGTAAATTGATTATTATACTTCTCTAAAATTTTTTTATTGTGTACTTTTTAATACATATAACTTATTATCATTTATTGTTTCTTAGTGGGGTGATTTATTGGACATAGGTAAGAGAGAATCGGAGAATAAATTATCACATGTGTTAAAGACGATAGGAATAAACGAATGTTGCGTTTTAGTGTACACGGTATGAATTTATCACACTTAATCAAATTGTGACTGTAATATTTAATATACTATTTTCTTATTTGCAATCTTTACAGTCGGGGACAATCGGACATCCAAAAGCTGTAATGTTAAACCATGATAATTTATTGCACGGCATATGGGGACTGTTACCAGTGCTACATATGAAAAAAAAATCAGAAGTTATAGTAAGCTATTTGCCATTATCTCACATTGCAGCACAGGTAAGATATTTCAAATAGAATAATATACTACTTAACAAAATTAAAAAGGCAAAAATTAAAAATTACTTGTCCTCTATCCTTCAAAAACAAGTAAATGTTAAGGTAGATTAACTTCGTTAAAAATCATCACAATAACATTTAGAAAAGTATTTTACACCTTGAATTTCTACTTTCTGAATCAATACGATTTTTTTTCATCGAATTCATTTTTGTTTTAATGTTGAATAGTTCGATGAAAAAAAAAATCGTATATGATGCTCAAAAAAGCAAATTAAAGGTAAAGATTCATTCTTTCAAATGTAAAGTAAATATTATAAAGATAAAGATTTATTCTTTCAAATGCTATATATTTGTGTACAATTTTTATTTCGCGGTGAGAAACTTCGTAAAAAATTTGAGATTTGACGCATCTTCATTTATGTCTGTGTAATTTTATAAAATATCAGTAAGGTTATTTTCTAACATACTAATCTGAAATGTAGAGATTTGTAGCTGTAAAATGTTTTTTTTAAACATCTAATTATGATGATTTTCGATGAAGTACTTTAACTTGAAATTTGTCTGTTTTTGAAGAATAGAATAAATGATCTTTTAATTATGTTTTGTCTATTCCAGGGAGATATCTAAGTAAAAATATTTCGATCACATTAAAATTAATACAAATTTTCACATATGTTAATTACGCAGGATTGAAAGTAGTAACATGTTACTTGTAACGTCGTTACCATTATTTTTTTTTAGTAACGAATTGGTAAAAATGTTACTTTATATATATATATATATATACTATATATAAATTTAGTAACAGTAATGATAATGCAGTTATATTGAAATTGTTAGAAACGGTAACGAATATAATCGTTACTTTTATCGTTTTAGATACTTCATGTAGAACTTTCTCAAAATCCTGAAATTATATCTAAATATCTATTATAATTAAAGAAAAAAAATAGTTTATAATGTTTTCATTAATTCCAGCTAATTGACGTCATACTAAATATTATGTTAGCGAGCACAGTATACTTTGCAGACCCAAGTGCATTAAAGGGTACATTAATAAATACGTTACTTGTGGCGCAACCTACTATTTTCCTAGGAGTGCCCAGAGTATGGGAAAAGATATATAAAAAAATGCAAGAGAAAACAGATAGTAATGGTGTAATAAAAACATGGATTGCTAAATGGGCAAAAGAACAAGCTCTTTATTATTATACAAATAAAATAAATGGCATAAATTACAAACAATGGGGCTACCTCTTTGCAAAATGGCTCGTTTTCGACAAAGTCAAGGCAGCATTGGGTTTAAATAAGTGCTACATCTACATTACCGGAGCAGCACCTATAAATATCGACATTAAAAAGTATTTCTTGAGTTTAGACATACCTTTAATAGAAGTATATGGAATGTCTGAATCTTGTGGGTGTCAAACAATAAACGACTTAAAATATAGGTAAATTACATCTGCTTTTATTATTTATAAAAATATAAAAATTTATAAAAATATAAAAATTTATAAAAATATTTAAAACTTATAAAATATACTTTACAATGCTTATAAAATATATTATTTCTTATATGTTAGCATGGTTGGTGTGGGAAAACCTTTACCTGGGCTATATATAAAATTAGACAATATAAATGAACACGATGAGGGAGAAGTTTGTATGAGTGGACGATCCATATTTATGGGTTATTTAAATGCACCGAAGCAAACCGAAGAAGCCAAAGATAAAAACGGCTGGTTACATAGTGGTGACCTTGGCAAATTAGATTCAAAAGGGAATTTGTTTATTACTGGTAAACATTTGTTTTACGCCTATTAACATGTAAATACATCATTATGTAATACTTATTAAAAGTAACACTATTCAACAAAAAGATATCAGAACGAAACTAGTTATTTTCTGTAGTTTTTTGAACTATAAATTCAAATTACTCTATCACGCCACAATTTTGAGATCAATTGAGATTACAAAAAGTGCCATTTTAATGTATTTCTCATACAATTACAATATGTGTGACCTTTTTAAGAAATTTTATTGCAATCAAAATAAAGTATAGTGTTTAGACTTTCAATATATTCCAAATGATTATTTAATATTGACTATAATTAGTAACATATTCATATAGATTAAAATCTATTGCGGAAAAACTGTGAATTTGATCAAACAGCTTTCGATTATATTTATTTAAATCTAAGAATTTTTTTAGGCTACTAAATACAAATCCGATATCAAAATTGACCAACTCAAAGGGTACAAAAAACTCTTAAGTTTAAATAAACATAATTAAAATAGTTACTTGATAAATCATCAAAGACTTAATTCGTGCAGCTTTTCCGCAATAAATTTGTAATATTTTTGAAATTTTCTTCAAATTACAACGTGATGAAGCAATTTCAAAAAATGGATTTGTGTCCAATATATTCGATATCCAAAAAACTAAAAAAAATGACCATTTCGATTTTCAAAAAGATTTTTTTTCAAACAATGTAATATATCACGCATATACATACGTTATGATAGCAAATATATATATTTATATATGTGTTTTTTACTTTTTACATTCACAGGTAGAATAAAAGAACTTGTAATCACAAGTGGAGGAGAAAATGTGGCATCATACAATATAGAGCAAGCAATATTGTCGGAATTATCATATTTAAGTAATGCCATGGTAATTGGAGATCAAAAGAAATATTTAATAGTCCTTGTCACACTTAAGGTACAATGAGAGAAAATAAAAAAACTATAAATTTAAAATTATAAATATTCATTTTTTTTTCCAGAGTGATATGAATGAAGAGACTGGCGCACCATTGGATACGCTGGCGCCAGATGTATTGAAATGGGCACATTCTATTGGTAGTAGCGCTAAAACAGTTACAGAGGTCATAAACTCTCGTGATGTAGCCGTAAGTTTTAAAAGTGACTTATATAATTAATATTATTTAACATTGTGTATAAATAAAAAATTTATTTATTTTTTTTAAGACGAATCAAAATCGAATAAATAAATGCGAACATATATCACAAATAAACAACTTATTATACATACTTTAAGACTCCTGAATAATCACCACAGTTATATTGAATCGTGACATCAGAAACAAGAAATGACACATTAATTTTTATTACGTGCCATTTGTAAATAAAAACAATTTGGATAAAACAAAATGATGAGATAGTTTTAAAACAATTGTAAAAATGAATAAAAGCTATCCTTATCCCCCCTAAAACGCTTCTGACGATTCAATATGGTTGTGTTAATACTGGTAATTACTGAGGAGTCTTAATGAGTGCAAACGACATGGCCAGTGACAGCACTCGTCTTTGTTTATTTAATCTGAATATTTAAAGATTAAAATATGTTTCTTGTTCTTTTAGATATATGGAGAAATCGACAAGGCAATTAAGAGAGCAAATATGCAAGCTATAAGTAATGCTCAAAAAGTACAGAAATTCGAAATTCTTCCCCATGATTTTTCGATTCCAACTGGTGAATTGGGACCCACCTTAAAACTTAAAAAGAATGTAGTTCAGAAGATGTATGCTGATTTAATAGACAAAATGTATGAATAAAATTCTACATTACTGTCATAATAATATTAAAGTCCGTTTTCGCAATATATATAGTTACATAAAGATTAAAGTTTATTAAGAGATTCATGAATAAAATTCATTTGGTTATTAAATTTTCAATAAGTAATCAATATAGATCGCATTAGTTGAAAAGTCACGAATTGGTAGCATTGGGCAAATACGATTATACAGCAATGTAGTAACATTAAGCACTGAAGTGATGAAACGTGAATGTACTGTAAATCATATTATAAAAATAATGACTGCACTCGAACTGTTTAGAGAGTTTCGCCATCACTTTTATCTTTATCGTCACAATATTGTACCATCAGTCCATACAATTTAAACTTGGATTCACAATTTTAAAGAAATCTTAACATGAAAGAAAATGACAAATATATACATAAGCAAATGCGACAAAGGAACATGATATCGAAAATAAAAGTGGCGGCGAAATTTTTTACGTCCAGTTTTTTGTTCATTTTATATATATCTATATATTATATATAATTTAATTCAATTTATATTATATATATATGTGTATTCATCATATTATTATATTTTAATATATACATATATTAATGAAAATTTTGTAATAATTCTAAAAATAAACTTATATTTATAACCTACCTAAATATAAATTTCTTTGCACAATAAATATAAAAATATTTTTCTCAATTTATGTTAAATTTTTTTTTATCATATATCAATCAAGATGTTAAACTAAAAAAATTTTGACAATATTTATAATTATATTATGTTATTGTAATGAAAAATAATGTAAATTATTATAATGGAAAGGTAAAAGTAAATAACAGAAAAGATTTTATAATTGCAATATATTACTAAATGTAGTTTACAATAAGCAAAAGTAATTATGTTTAAAATGTGTCTGTGTGTGTGTGTTTTGTGTATGTTTTGTGTGTGTGTGTGTGTGTGTGTGTGTGTGTGTGTGTTCATACTACATATTTTTATAGTAAATACGGCTTTTCATAAGAAAATAGTCTTACTAAGAGCGCATCACAGCAGCTTTGGAAATGCAGATCTGTATATCTTCTTACTCTCAATCTTATCATGCATAAGTGGATTATACTTGAATTATCGTGATTATATATCATCAAGATAAGTTTTCCTGTTCTCATATATTTATTATTACTCTATTCAGTTACTTATCTCATATTATCAATATAAATTTTTATACATGTGCATGTAGAATGCATAATTATTGCTGGCTAACAATGTATCTTAAATACTTGTGCAATTTTATTTTTAACTATAACTCTCAGATAGAATTATAATTTTCAACGTAAGAATATCCACATAGCAGATAATTAAGAAGAACATAATGATATGTCAAAGCTGATACTTAGTTAATTCCATATATAAAACTTATAGCATTGTGGCACATACGTATACAACACTGTTTTTAATAATATTACAGATCCTGTTTTGAGAATAAGCGGCTAAAAGTTAATTGGTTTCCTATATATAAAGACATAAGAATTTTATGGTACTGTAAAATATTTTTTTGTGAAAGATCTCCAAAATATTTTCAAGTATAACATTATACAAGCCTCCAATTATTTATGAATGTACCATATTACTCCATCATCCAAACATAAGGTTAATTAACAATATGCATTTTTAGAAGTAATAAAGAAGTATACAGATTTATGATGTTGATGTATTGAATTTTTGTTGGATAATAGATGTTTTTCGCTGTGGTACTGTTTCTGGTGTTGGTATAGCATCTCCTGTTGGCAAAACACCAGCTGGCTTTGGCTTGGCTGTAGACTTTTGTTTTGCCATTTGATAATCCCCAGAATCAAAATATTTTTGCTGAAAATATTGAAATTGTGAATCATTTCAAGAAATGAAAAGATTAAAGATTATTTTTGTAAGAAAGTTGAAACTCTATACGATAATTAGAAGAATTGATATTTACCCCTTTGGCTAGTCTTTTTTGCAAAAATGCAGAATGACCACCAAATGGTCGACCAGCTGCATTTGGAAACTTTGCTTTTAATTTTTCTTCTTCCAATTTTTCTATAGCGCTCGATGACAGCTATAAGAAAATCTTCAATGAGGATCTATTGTTATATATGTATGACTGATGTACATGAACAAAATTTCATGTAAATAAAATTTTAATAAAGATTGTTTCTACTCATATATTTTCTAAATCTTCTAAAATCCATATTAATGTGTACAACACCATATATCTGTTATTGTCATACAATCCTAACATGGTTAGCATGAGTAAGCTACGAATAGCTGTAGCTCTCCAAAATATTTACATATAACAGTGCAAGAAAATTAATTCAAATCACTTGTAATAAATTAAACAACTTTCTAATAAAATAAAATGCTGTTGCTCTCTGTGATGAGATTCTGATAACTCATCGAAAGAACCGCCGCAGTTTCCAGTTTTCTTAGTATACTATTATTATAATTTATACAATACATTATTAATAAATTAATTCTATTTTCGTAATTAGTCGCTGTCCGATTAATAAATCTCGGTAACTTGCCTCTGCTGTAGGGCTCTGCACATTCGTCTGATCGTCGCTCATTTTCACAGATTTTAAAATGCCTCTCGTCAGCGGCCGCTTATCTTCCAACCAGTTACCTTTCGAATACTAATTTCGACACTCACGCATATAACGTACATAAGCTAAGTGAGTGCAACGCAATAAACGGCAGCGTCTCTCAATCGTCAGGCGGATCGTTTCTTCACCGTATTCCCTACAAAGTGGATACGTGCACCATAAGAGTTTCGATGATTGTCAACGAGATTGTTTTCATATACAAACGGCGAAAACAGCGACGGCGTCACATGCAGAGCCATATGTTCCCGGATGACCGTTACCGACGTTCGCATCAATTCGCATGGCCGGTTTCCATGCGCAGCAATTCAATCCGATTCTCATAGGGCGACTCCGATTAATGAATCGACGATTAGTTCAATGTTACGAATTACTCCAGCAGAATTATTATTAATTAGACCAGTGCTATCCGACCAGAGGCGTGCACAAATAATTTTGACGTCCCAGAAGGATACGTACATGTATATATTATATATTAAAAGTGACATCATATATAATAGTGCTAATTAATCTAAAAGTCCATTCCTATCTCTATCAAAATTCCCTATTGTTTATATTATTTCTATCAATATTGATTTACTTTAATCTCTTATGCCTATTTCTAATGTAGATTAGTTTATTTGCTTACTTTTTTATCCTTTTGTTTATCTACATAGAAATTTGCTCAAAATTATAAATGTTTGAACAATATCAAAATTTCTATATAATATATCATTATTATAATTGTCTCTGATCTAAATATTCTGATCTAAATATTCTATATCGTATTGAATAACAAAAAAATTGATAATTAATCACCGACGTAAATTTTGCAGCTTCATCGAAATCGTCCATAATAACAACTCCGAATAAATTTGATTTAAATTCTTTAAAGTGATATTTTCAATTATAATTTATCGTTCTAATTTCTTAATTTTATCTTTCTTTTTGCGTAAAAAAAATTGAAATTTAATTTATCCATGTTAGCATATAATATGATTCTTTTTTATTTACAATAAAATTAATTAACAAAATATAAATATTTTTATTTGATAAATTAATCGTTGATTAAGTTAATCGCAATTTGGTCATTCTTGAATAAATGAATTTTCACCATCAGATGCTAGATCAGATTAAATTGAAATCACGTGACGCTTTTCAAGTCTCATGAAATGGCACCTTTAGAATGCGTGGAAACGTTCGCAACGCCACGACAAGTCATCATTTTTCATCCTTTTTGTCGTTAAATATTAAACAATTAAACGCAGCCAATCAACAGGCTTGAAAAGCTTATCGTACGACAAAAAATAGATGAATGTAATATTAGCCTTTAGATCTTCGCCAATCCGCGACAATGGCGCCAGCTGATCTTTGACTCAGGCTCCGCTATGTTCAAAGTGGATGGTGGTGTGTGATGGACGTGACTCGTCGCGCATTCACATGGTATACTTACGGTGACACGACAAGAATACGGTTCCAGAGCATTCCGGGATATTCACAGAGATAGTGACACGCCATGAATACGTTAATTCACACCAAAATGATTGCCGATCACGGTGGAGTCATTGTTCGACGTATGTGTCACCGTGCGTTACTTCACGTCCTATTATAGATCAGCTCGATTTTATGCGATAACTTTTTTGTAATACTTATTGAAGTAAGATACTTCAGAATTATTATCGTTACATTTATGTAACGATAGATAATACGTATCCCACCGTGAAATTAATGTGTCCTATTTAAAATGTCAACATCTCCCCGAATTCCCCTATCAAATATTCCATTACGATATAGTCACGTTTAAATCTAAAAAAACGTGGGCTGATAGGTTATATCCCAGTTTTTTTACAATGTAAATTTATATTTTTTGAAGAACATATTATCTTTTTTATTGCTCCATTTTGCAATCATGAAAGATTTTATGTATATGAAATATTTAATTCTTGCTTTAATTCTTTGTTCAATTATTAATAGGAAAAACAAAATATTTATTATTATTAAAAATAACTTGTAATTTTTATGCTAGGATTAGATAAGCTAAATTGTTTCGCTGTATACTAATTTACACTAGGATTAGATAAGCTAAATTATTTTACTCCATATTTTACAATTATTTAAAAAATTGGAAACTGCTAATTCTATATTTTCAGGATATTCCCCGTTTAAATTATGGTACAATACCAATTATACAATGGGTAGCATATCTTTAATTTATACTCGTTTGAGAGATCCAAGAAGATTATTGCTGGAGCCTACAGTGTTACCAATGTATATTAATGATAAAAGCATAACATGTCTACAAATTCGTACCTTTTATGTAACTCCAAGTTGGAATGGCCAAGAGTCATCATCTAAGATTGAAAAAACAGTAAAGAATATTAAGGAAGAAAAAGAACTTCAAAATAAGTGTGCAATAGACAATGTTGCCATGAATAATGAGCAACCAAAAAAAGCTGTTGTTAAAGTTACAATATGGGAAAAAATTAAAGGCGAGATATTGCATTATTATCATGGATTTCGATTATTAGGTCTCGATATGAAAGTATCAGCAAAATTAATATGGAGAATTTTACATGGGAAGGAACTTAGTAGAAGAGAACATCGTTTGGTATGTTAAGCAGATTACATTTATTATATATCAATTTGATATATTAGTATTAGGTGTTGGAATTAATTCGTAGCGTTTTTTAATGAAAGAATGTTATTTATTTCACATGAGCATTAAAAAATACATTAATGAAAGTACTTCCCATCACTTGTAAAACGCTACGAATTAATTCCAACATCTAATATTAAGATATTAATCAGTCATATTTTCTAACAGCTGATAAAAACAACTGGGGATGTGTTCAGATTGATTCCATTTTCTGTATTTATTATTGTTCCATTTATGGAATTTCTATTACCAGTGGCAATTAAATTATTCCCTGGCATGCTACCTTCTACTTTTCAGACAGCAGTTGAAAAAGAAGATAAACTTAAGCAGGCTTTGAAGGTAAAATACCAGATTTCAAATTCATTAAGATATTAAAATTAAGACATAAAATCTAATAAAAATATATATACATAAACAGAATTTGACAAATACAATGTATATGAATGTCACATAAAATAGTAACCTACATATTTTAGTAAAAGCTTAAATATTATTTTAATAAATATTTTTTTTTTTTTTATAAACAGGTCAAAATAGAAATGGCGAAATTTTTACAAAAAACATTGGATGAAATGGCGTTACAATCGCCAGATCACAAATCTGAAAAAGCTAAAGAATTTGCAGAATTTTTCTACAAAGTACGAACAAGTGGTACTGTTGCGACCAATGAAGAAATCATGAAATTTAGCAAAGTTTTTGAGGATGAAATTACTCTAGATTCTCTCTCACGACCACAACTAATTGCTTTATGCCGTGTATTAGATGTGCAAACTCTTGGAACTACTAATTTTTTAAAGTTTCTACTTAGGATGAGACTCAGAAGTCTTACTGCAGATGACAAAGTATGTATTCATGAAATACAGTCTCCATTTTCTTTATGTAAAATTATTTTTTCTATTTCTCTCTCACACACACATACACACACAAATACATTAAAATATCAAATCTTTTTTTTCAATGATAATAGCTAATTGAGAAAGAAGGAATTGAAAGCCTAACCAGAGCTGAATTGCAACAAGCTTGCAGAGCACGTGGTATGCGTGCTTATGGATTACCAGAGAACAGATTAAAAGAACAATTATCACAATGGTTGGATTTAAGTTTAGTTAAAAAAGTTCCACCCTCTTTACTATTATTATCACGAGCGCTTATGATACCAGAAACGATGCCTATGTCGGACAAGCTAAAAGCAACTATTTCAGCTTTGTCTGATACGGTTGTGGCACGTACAAAGGGTGCTATTGGAGAGAAAGAAGGTAAAGTGGATCATAGAACCAATATCGAAATTATTAAAATGGAAGAACGCAAAATTGAAGAAGAAAGAGAAGAAAAGAAAGAAGCTGAACCATCACAGCCATCTATTCCAGAATCTAGTACCAAAACAGACGAAATTACTACTACTGATGTCAAAGTTTTGGAACAAGCTCTGGATTCAATTGGCAAAGTTAGTAAATAATTAAAATATACATGCAAGTAATTCTTTAATATTTACAATATTCTTAATATTATATTATCTTATTTTTAGGATAATAAAACTATGGCTGTAGAGAAAGAAGAAATCAAGGAACTTAAAGAAGAAATGGCAGAATATCAAGAAGATATTAAGGAATTGTATCAAATTAAAGCGGAAGCAAAAGGTCAAACAGATATAGAAAATATTAAAATATCAAAAGGTGCTAATAGACTTTTCAAAAAGGTAAATAAAATGATCTCAAAAATGGATGCCGTTTTGTGGGAACTCGAACAATCCGAGAAAAAAGTTAAACAAAGAATCGAGTCGTTGGGTCCTGAGAAAAAGGATACCAAAGATGTTGAAGAATTAGTTAAAATAGATGAGCTAGTTGCAGCCATTAAACAAATCCAAAGTGTACCCGATGAACATCGTTTAAAACGCATAGCAGAAATTTTAGGAAAAATTGATGACGATCAAGACGGTGCAATAAAAATAGAGGATGTATTAAAGGTACAGAACAAACTAAACATTTTTATTAATTACAATAAGTATTATTCTACAAATAAGATAATATAATATTGAAAATTTTGTAAATATTATATATAAGCATGATTATACAACTTTATATTTATTTATTAATATTACATTTATTTATTGATATGAATTATAAATATAATTTTTAGGTTGTAGAATTAATAGGTAAAGAAGATGTTAACTTAAGCAAACAACAAGTAGATGAATTGATAGAATTAATGGATAAAGAAGAAGTATTAGAAGTAGAGGAACAAATACAAAAATCGTTGGAAAAGGATTCCAAGACCTCTCAAACAGAAGAGAATATAAAAGCTACGCATAAATGTACGGTTCCAGCTACACCAGTAACAACTGAACCAGGATATGGAAAAGAGGAGTTAATAGATGATGCTGTTAGAGAATCCAATAAAATCTGTGGAGATCAGAATATTGAAGAGAATAAGCAGAAATCAACTGTCGTTCTTAAAAGTAATTCCAAATCTGATGAGATAAAAAATCCTCCAATTACATCAGGTGTTCAATCAACAGCGAAAAAAGCAGAAGGTTCTAAACAACTGTGATTAGTGCACAATGAAGTATAAATTAGTATATTATCAGCAATATTTTTACTGAAATGATGTTTGATATGGATCTTCGTCTTGTGTGTATCCCACATATTTTTTTCCTTAGAAAAATGTTTATTTTCTTCAAAAATAGACCAATAGCAATATATTTAAAAAGATAAATTTTATATTGACACAAGGCACAAAGATGTCATTATTTAATTGGCCATAACTATTATGTTGTACATAGAAAAAAACATATATATTGAATATATACATTATATTAGCCACTTATAATATTTGAATAATATTAAGTATTGTGTAATATTGATTTCTAATTTTTTTATTATATGCACACACAAAAACCTGAAGTTTCTCATTGAAGACTGTGATGCATTTAACAGCATCATTTATTCTCTTTTATTTATAATAATGTACTTGATCACAAATGCATTGTTAAAATATTTATTCTGTAATTAATTGTCGATGCTATATGTTATAATCTTAAAAGGAATGAATAGAATATCATTAGCTTAAACATTGACAACAAATTATAGATATATTAAAAATGTTTTTTTACTACAATCCTCTGGGCTTTCAGTAAGCCGAGAGGATAAATCATTCCAACTGTCTTCTCATTGTACACTTGTTAATACTGAGCATAGATACCACTAATTCAAAATAATAATCTTCAACTATATTACCTTGTAAAATTCAATACTGTTATTACAAAGTAATAGGTTGCTCAAAACAAGATAAATATACAGTAATTCATAATTTTATTTTCATTTGAAAAACATAGAAAAGCAAAAAACCTCATTTAACATAAAAATGTAATATTATTTGTGCTTTGTACTACGTAGAGTTAAATTTGCAAAAAAAAAATCTGTTTACACGGTAATTTTATGTGACAAGATGTTACATCAATTTCAGAGCCCTATGTGTAAATAAGAGGAGAAATATTTATTGCATATTTGTTACTCTATAATGTTAATCGGACGAAGATCATCTAAATGTATTATAAAGATATGAATTCAGAAAGAACATTCAGAGTAATCTATTTCTTTACTTCTGCGCATGAAAGTCTAAATGTATATAAGAAAATATATTATTTTTTTAAATTTTTATAGGATGCTCTTTCAAAAGAAATAAAACTGTGAAATTAAGTATCCTACAAAATGGAGTTTTTATAAAATTATATATATTGTTGCATTATTCTACTTTATTTGTTCTATTTCCTACGTTTCGTTGCTTCTTTACTGCAAAAATAATTAATTTCGAAAAAAGATATTTTTAATTTTGATATATAAATCCAACAATTAGAAATAAATATAATATATTGCTACATTACATATGCTATGATCATCATAGTTCATATCATTTCATAGCATCAAATCATTTTATAGCTCTGTCATTTTACATATAACATCGTAAAATAAAAGTATTTATTTAAAAAATCATTATTGTTGTAAAGATTTATTTAAAAATATTTTTAATAATAAAGAAATATACAAGTATATTATATGACAAAATTTAAATTATGTACAATTATTTCATGAATCTTAAATAAAGAATTATTCTTTTTCATGTATTTATTCTACAAGTACAATAAATCCATTATAATAATCAATCTTCGAATATATTGATCAGTTACATTTTTTATTGATATTTGTTTACATTGGCATTTAT